TGGCTTCGCGCGCGAGCACTTAACCATTAGACCACTGAGCCGGGATCCAACGGTGTTAATGTCTAACTTCAACCAATCCACGAAGTTGCGCCATCGAACACCAATGTCTTCAGTGAGCTGATATCTCACAACAGACCTGGTTGAACTCCACTGGTGACGGCTTCTCACTAGAACTCCAGAAGGTTCTCCTGAAGTCAGTCACTAGTGAGCAGATGATTATTATCAGAATGAGTTTTGTGGAGATTTTAGTAAATTTCACAAGTTGAAATCATGAGTCAGTTGAAGCTAGACCACCATTGAAAACCTTAGTATTTAGTCATAGATTTTTCTTGGGATATAATTAAAGAACAAAAAGGCAACATTAACTTAATGTTATTTCGAATCTTATTTACAACTATATTTATAAAAATAAACAATCTTACTGTTATATTATAACTGTTATGCAAAGAGAAATATCTGAATTGTATAACGTATTCTTAGGGTACAACTTAAATCATTTAATCAATCAGTTGCATTAGAACTTTCCTCCATTTCTAAGAATAAATAAATTACTGTAATAAAAGAGCTTCATGTATTCCAATTGTTTCACACTTTTATTACATAGTGATTAAAATGCATTTGATGATTTTAATTATTTTTATGATACGCACTTTTTTTCATAACAGCCAATTACTTCATTTACGCCAATTTAAGAAGATAATCGTGTACATTCTTTTAAGATATAAAAGATAACAGGGTACTCAACGACTCTGACTAATACAGCACTTAATATTGTTCAAAAATTTACAGTTCTAATAAACAAAACAGATATATTATATTTTTACTCACTCTTAAATTCTCAACTATATGCTATCAACATGGATTATAGCTTGTATGAAGGGACCGAAATTCAAGGTAAAAATCACTTTCCAAAACAATTATATTATCTGATTTTAGAAAGATATTTACTTAAATAATAATTTCTAAACATCAATACAAATCGTTAATCTTAATTTTGTATGTTTTCAGTCTATTCATTGTCAATGTATCAGAAACTAAGGCGTTGAAACTTTTTAGTACAATATCTTAATTGAATACCTTTTATTTTTATTTATGCTTAAAAACTTAACATGTCTCATAGCATATGATCAGTTGATAAGACAATCATTCACTTATAATATTTATAGCCATCTCCGAAGAGAAAACAATCAATACCTTTTTCCCCACATGAAATCAATCACAAATTAAAAAGTTGACTGGAATTATTTTATTTATATTTTATGTCATTGAATAAGAAAAAGAGAATTCAGCGAAGGAAATTTTCTTTTCGACGAAATCGTTTACTTAAGCTGTACATTCGTATATGGAAAATATATATCTATAGGACGATAGAAAAGATTACATTACAAAAATGGATTTGAGACTAAATAACAAATGAAGTTACGTACTAATCAAGGGGTAAAGAAGAAAATAGTTTATGGGTCAGATAATAGTCCAATTGACAGATATGAAGGAAAAGGACAAACACAAATGTCATAATAATAAACTGAATAATAATTAAAAAAAACTTGTATAAGGTAATAAAAATAACTTATTAGAGTTTAAAATTGCAAAACAATAATTTAAAAGTTAAAAAGAATTCACTAATAACCAAATAAAAGTACAAAAAAACAACCAAAAATATAATCATTAAGGGAATTAAGGCCAAGGAAGGATGAACGGTTGGACGAATCATTTCTGCACGCAAAGTTCAGGCTTGAGTTCGTGGATCACCAATGCCTCAGCAGTGCATAAATTATTGATTCAACACCCCATTGATCCATTTCCTTTGACTCTGTAGATTACTTTAAAAAAAGAATCTTTTGGAGCAATGTGTCCACAGTTAATCAAGTGCTCCTATATACAACTTGTAATTGTTTTACATTCTCCTTTTAAAAGCCATACCGGATAGTGTTCTGATATACGTTTGGACAGTGATCGCTTTGTGTGGCCTGTGTAATGTGCCCCAAATGAGCAAGTAAATTTATAGATACAGATTGATGTGACCCAAAGCAGAAGTTTACCCTTAACACATCCTGGAATGGTTGGTCAGCGAGAGATAACAATTCGGAGCTTGTGTGCGTAGAACGTTTTATTCAACGATTTTGAAATCCGTTTATTCAAGATTTCAGCAGCTGTGTCTCTTTTACATTCCATATTCATAAACAAGGTTTTTTTCTATACTATTGATACTTTTTCATGATGAAGTCTAGATGTTAAGTTGCTATCGACGAATCTAGGTGGATAACCATTTCTGATGAGGGTCTGTCGAAGTTGAAGTAGTTCTTCACCAATTATGTCATTGGTACAGATTTAATTGATCTTAGAGGATAAAGAGTGAATTAAGTTCCTCTTTCTACTCAGTGAGACCCAACTATAGAAATTCGTATATTTTCCATTCCAGGTACGTTTTCTATATATAGCTCTCTGTAAAAGAACCATCCAGCATTCTTTTCAATCGGACATCAAGAAAATAAAATTCATTGTTTGCCTCTGCTTCTAAGGTATATTGAATTGACGGGCGACAATTATTAAAAATATTCAAAATTTCATTAGGGTCCATGTCTTCTTCACAGATAATGTGTATGTCACCGAATGAAATGTTTCAATGAGAGAGATATGTAAAGCCCTAAATGAAACGGATAGACTGTTACAGAATATGCACTGTCTGAGTTAAAATTCATGGGTTAGTTGCTTTAATTCATTATAGGCCGCAAGGCTGTGTTTTAAGATGGGAAACATTTACCCTAAAATGGATAAATACTGAACTTAATTTAATTTCGTAACTTTCTGTTGGTTTAATCATCTCAGGAAATTATAGTTGACTACTTTTATTACAGATTCATTCATTTTATTCTATTCTATATGCATTTTGTTTTACTTTATCATAAAAAACCTATTTGTGAAAACAGTACAGACTAAGTTACTAGCAACTATTAGTTAAGAATTCATTTCTAATCCACTTATATAGCTAATATTTGGTCTAGTATATCTTTTCACCGAGTGAAATACGCATTGTTGAATTCAACAACACAAATATATGAATGTTAGTCTTTATTATGCGTTAACATCAGCGAATCTAATACTGGAAAAGAACGAGGGATAGACAAATGGTTCGTCATTGTGAATGAATAACCCAAAAGGGGTTTGTTATAACTTGTGGCCTTGTGCCCTATTAATGTATAACGTAATGATACCACCAATCAGAGAACAGTGATTTATCGACCGGACCAATGGCGCATACGAGCAGTCGAGAGTCTTTACCGGTCCCGCTTCCTGCTTAGCCCTACTCGTTAAGTACAGAACACCAATCTCAGTTTCTGCGATATGAATCATGTATTTCAAATATAATGGGCTTATATACAAACCAAACAGACCACATCGTACCACGAAATAGAAAATAACATTTTTACAAGATTTAGCCAAAAGTGACTGTGAATGTGGGAGATTGTAATTGATAAACTGGGCATAACTTAAGAATGGTAAATCGTATAATAACAGTCTATAAACTAAAATAAAGCTTATAGTAAGAGGAACACGAATATGAATAGTTTAGTTACTTAACAATTATACAATAAAAAGATATGTATAGTATTAGTCCATAAACAGATACCAACAGTTAACATTGATTATTTTCGTTGGGACGTAACAGGGTTCAAACCAATTATGTACTATTCCGGTGTTTTACATCAGTCCATTTGTAACACAATACAGTACTCACTAAGACGTCACTTTTAAGTAACTATATAACTCAAAATATACATGTTTACGTAGTTCACTGTATTTAAAAAAAAGTACAGGAAATAAAAAATTGGTAAGCTTATACCACGTGAATAAAAACGATCCTTGGTTCGAAACCCTCATAAATTACTTAACTAATTAAGTTGTTTTTCTGAAAATAATGGAAATGAAAGTTAAATATGTATGTAGAACTTATTTAGTTTAAATTCAAAAATGCTGTTTAAAAAATTGTTGGATATCACGCCAGTGCAATATCAAATAGTGAGTGTCCATCTAGTAATAAGAATAGAAATGAAATCACAGATCTTATACTGCATCTTATCAGAAAAACCAACATAGTAGAATAACTACAACAGCAGTCAAAAAATTATAAAAACAGAGAACCAATATTAGAAAAATGTTCTGATTGAAATCATGAACCGATCAATGTTAGACCATCGCTGAAAATCTGGGAACACTGGTCGATTATTTCGTCATTGTACGGGTCTCCTCAGTGGTGAGCATCCACGACACTGCGTGCGGGATTCGAATCCAAGACCTTCGTTCTGGGGCGCAAACGCTTAACCCCTAGGCCACTGAGCCGGCATCCAACGGCGTTATTGTGAAATTTCAACCAGTCCACCAAAAATATTCCTTATTGACTTTATATATATATATATATATATATGTATATATATATAGAGAGAGAGATTTTCCACATTAAAATGTTTTATGTATAGTCAAAAAGTTTGAGTATTGTGGTCTAAAATTTGTTGTAATATCCCAGAAACATTTATCGTAAACCTTTGCATGGGATTTGATCGTATTGATGTTCTATACGTTTCCATTTTATGACATCAATAATTTCTTTATGAATTATATTATTCATGTTTAACCTTTATTCCAGTATCTATTACTATTTGTGTATTCTACATTTTATCTTCTTAAATATTTCAATGTAATAAAAAGAAGTGTAACAGACGGATCAGTTACTCACTTATCTTTTGTTCACATTGTTTAAATGTATGAAAATAATTCGAACTGATTACTCATCAAAATAACCGGATATAACCAGTAGAGACGTTAGATATCAAAGAAGTTACTATGATTATCAAATATCATTGTTCACTGCCAGCTCACTTACTCAATAAATAAGTTAATGATTTGAAATGAAAGAAAAAGCATATTATGAAATCTATTCTAATTGATTTCTATACAATGATTATATATCAATAAAATAAAACCAAAAAAACATCACTTACATATGACTTGTCAAATTTCAATATTCTTTTAAACATTTTTATTGAATTGTTCAAGACAAATCATCAATTCATTTATGAGTAGAATAATGATCAGCTGTTACTATGGTTGTTGTTATTTTATAATTCAAAATTATTCATTACAATTATTTCATGTAAAAAAAATGTTGAAATAAATCACCAGTTTATTGATTAACTGTTTAAATGAGACGCTTTTTTTGTTTGAAAAAAAAAAGAATTATTACTATACTGATTAAAATGCAACTATTATTTACTGGAAGTAAGGTGTTTTTGTTTTAATTAGCTTGTTCATTTGATCAATTTTATTTTTCTTAAAATATATTCAGATCATTACCATAGAAAATCACTATTAGGCTTCTATTGGTTAAAATAAATATAATCATTATAACTGGTTTAATTTTGTCGGTTATTATTGTTAATTCCTTGAATAAAACTTTATATAAATGAGACAAACTGATTAACCAGAAAAAAAACCCAGGTACATTGTCAAGAAAGATAATTAAATTTTCATAAAAAATTAATTATAAAATAAAAATATGTATTAAATGTGTTGAGGTAATCTGAGTTGAAATTCATATTATAGTTGAGATCATGAGTCAGTTGAAGCTAAACCATCATGGAAAACTTGGAAGAACTGGATGGCTGTTTTGTCTTAGCGTGGGACTCCTCCTCAACTATTGAAATTACTAGACCTACAATGTAAAATTACGTAGTGGAATGACAAAATATGAAAACCATATTATTAAATATATAATTTTCACATCTTCCATCAATTATTCTTTTGCACAATTCATGATTTTTTTCAATTATGTCGTTATTCAAATTAGAGATTAAGCGTTCGCATGCGAGAATGAAGGCCCTGGGTTCGAATCTCGCGATCGGGATTGTGGATGCGCACTGCTGAGAAGTGTCACAATAGGACGAAATGTCCGTCCAGTGCTTTCAGGTTTTCAATAGTGGTTTAACATCAATCGGTTCATGATGTGAATCAAAAATTTAATAATCTGCACAACCCTATATTGATAATAACAATTACTCTCTATTTACTTTTATGTTCTCTTTATTTGAATCTTCCTAATTTTCTGTTGGCATGCATTACAACTCTGATTGGTGCTACACACTACTTATATAAGTAGTATACATAACAATTAAAATTTAAACAGATCAAAAGTATTGAGTTATTCAGAAGAATAGGAACCATTCATTTGAGCAGCACACAAATTAGAAAACGAACTAGTTCTAAAGTAGTATTTCATTTCTTCTATGTCATGAATTTTCAATCAATTTGAAAGTTCATTAAACGACTTGGTCTGGTACTGAAATACACGTTTGCTACTTACTACGCTGTAGTGTACGCTAATGATGTCGGCATATGTAAGTAGTGTGGCGCGTCCTACTTATATTGACATAAGTAGTATATAACGCGACTTAAAACGTAATATCTGGCAGCACAAGATGAGGGAAAGATCAAGAAAGAAAGAGCGGGAACACAATGCAATTTGTAAGAAAACGCATGAACAATGAAATGTGAGACAATGGATTGATGGTTGCAACAGGAACAGGCCGGTTTGATATGATGGATTAATATTTTGCAAATTAACGATTCACTATATGGTTTTTCTATTTTACCAACTGACTCGGGACTTACGTGTTCAGTACACCCGGTTGTCACAATCGGTTGATCATTAGGTAGCGGTCAGTTTCATGCGTGTCTAGTCCTTATTAGTGCGCATCGAATGCTGTCGACCAATTTGCAATGTGGCCACCAGTCTAGGTGACTTGACAGTGCGGGCACTATATGTTGAGATTAAATGGTGATTGGAGGTAATCAACAGGAAACCCTGGGTCCGGGTTTCGTGCTACTTGGCACTCGTCAGCAAGGTGTACCTGTAATCTTGAGGGAACTGGTGCTCCCTGGCGGATTCGATCTCGTGTCACCCAGCTTCACAGTCAGAGACGTTACCACCACCTACCTGTGTTCTTCTTCACTACAGTAGTATCACCAATCAAAATCGGAATACCTGGGGGCACAAGGTTAGAAAGATCGAAGAGAAGAGAACGGCAGATTTTATGCAATGATACTACTTGGTTGAGTAATAATTGCTCACAAGACCAATTTATTGACTTGAACCCCCTGAATGTTTTGAGTCAAAAACAATATCATGAACTAGAAAAATGGTTTTTCAACTTAAAGACTGCTTGGCTATGTACAAAATATTACCAGGAAAACAATACGATTAGGTGGTAAAAAACAACTGAATAAAATTGATTTTATAGATAGCTAATTCTTCAATGAATAGAGCCTAACTGTTACACTTATCCATTATATCACCACAACAAAAATAAAATAGGATCATTGTGTAACAATATTCAGAAAGTTTTGATAATCCTAACTTGTTATAAAACCTTTCCAGTTTATTAAAAATTATGTTTCTATCTTGTATATGAATTACACCCTCACTATTGACATTTATTTGTCACCATTGTTTGCTAAGTAAACATAAATTTTTGATATTAATCCTTTTTCTGCTCTAGGCAGAAGATTTATCACGTGATTTGAATAAAGTGATCAGATGGCAAAAAAGATTGATTAAAATCGGTTTTGTATGTCGCTCATTCCTCAATGAATTAGGGTCAATTAATTAGGCATCTTTATCTTATTAGTAGATGATTAAATTGTCCTGGCCTATAATAATTATTTGTATGAAATCAACCTTAAGTTAAGTGAATAAATAGTAATGTTAGGCACAAACAAGTAAAGAGAAAGTACGGTCTGGCGAAACGAAAAAAACAATATTTCTTCGGATATATAAGCTTACTTTACTGGCGATCACTGGATTTGATCATGTGCAGATTGATACAGTTGTCTATAGTTGCATCAGATGATGATCATATTATAACGTGAATCGATTGAAGTCGAAAGGATGTATTATTAGATTCTAAATTCTTTGTCTGAGAGTATCTAATTTGATGCACTGCCAAAATAGGATTAATTTGATTTTTTAAATGGTTATAACTATATAACACTGAAGAATTCTAAACTAAGACAAAAACAGAGCATTGTTTCTTGGTTGGTTTTAGTTTTCTAGATAATGAAAAAACCGGTCACTTTATCAAATGTTTACTTATAAATTAATTACAATCATCTGCAGTTGATTTTACAAAGATTTCAAAATTATTTTCATCTGATACTACGATATCCTTCAACTTTTATTTGTTTGGTAAAGGCCGTTTCTCCTCTAGTATGAGCTATTGTCTGAGCAGAATTTTCAAAGTATGTATGAGATTTGTTTGAAGCTGTTGATTTATTATGGGATTCATTTCTAGATGGTTTACAACTGTGTTACTCTGCTTGGTAAAAAACAAAACGTGCAAACGTTCTTTTCTGTAAAAAAACGAGAATAAAATTTATTTATTTATGTTGCAGTATATTTCACTAGTCATTAAGTTTCATAAAAATTGTTGTGAGAAAAACCTTTATAAAAGTGTTTGGGCTTAAAACTTACTAAACTATCACAGTTATTGATCAGGAAAATTTAGTTGTTTAATCGAAAAACTGGGGTTTCACATTGATTTCTAATGGCTATTAAGTTTCTAATCTACTGATTAAATCATTTTAAATGAGTAAGATTTAGTTGATGATGATGATGGTATACGTTTAATGTTTATACATCTGAATGTCAAACAAAATTTGCAATCTGAAATATAAATCGGTGACTGGCAACAAACACAATTATTAAAGTTCTATGAATTTCTAAAAATATATGACGTCATTGCTGAAGAAAAATTGAAATTGTGTTGTTTGCCAATTTACAGTTCTGCGGAATGAATAGACGTATAGTTCTGAAAGATGCCAGAATTTAAAAAAATAGTAGAATGTCATGATCTGACGATGTAATTTAGTTACATTGTTTTTAATACAAATTCATGAAATTGAATCTAATTAGAAAATCACTACCACTCCATTTTTTATGTAACTTGTATATCATGAATGTTTGGTTTAATTCACGTCAAAATAAGAACCAGTTTGAGTAGAAATCTGAAAGTTATTTTCATTATATTTACTATGTATTATTTCAAACATTTTGTCGAAGATCAATTATTAAGGATTGAACATATTCAGACCTATTATGATTTTGATTGTACTGAAGTTATTCTGTATTGTTTCCTATTTACCATTTAAGATTATGTTAATTTTATTTCGGTTATTTATTCACTTTGAAGAAGTGGCTTACAGTAAGTCACGCATCATCAGAGATACGATTCCCCACAATTTGTATATCAATCATTAGATTCTTATCTAATGCTCAATTAACTTGAAACCATACATTCGTTTGCAAATCTTTCATCAATTGTCCTTTAAATTCTTTATAGTTCTTCCAATTCTCAATTTCTATATGTTTCCTTTCTTATTTTCTTCAGTTCAATCTTTTCAACATTCTTTTGATAGACATTCCACTTCTGATTAGGGTCATATACTAATTATGTCGACAGATATATAAGCAGCATGCACCACAACATTACTAAATAAATAGCTAACTGACTAATTTATTTCATATGTAAATAGATCTTTAGGAAATTAGCTAGATTTCCAGAATTTGTTAAAGAAATATTTGGTTAACCAAAAATAATTACGTTAGCCACTCGTTGAAGACAAATCTGCCGTAATGACCAGTCAAGTGCTCATAAGAAAAAAGTGTACGAAATACTGCATTTGTGGGTTTAGAAATTTGTCGTGACACAAAATACTTGATTAAGACAGTAATTTATCTTTGTTTGATAGATAATTTGTAAATGATTACGAAACCTCTAATGGGAATATTCATCACAAATTACTTAAGCAGCATAATAAAAATTTTTGCACGTTTGTGTCAGTAACGTCATGAAACAAAATGGCAAACTACTTAGAGTAGTTTGACTGTAATGGTTGTGATTTTAACTTTGCATAACCATCAAAGTGTCTAATCACTAAACCTGTTTTTGAACGTTTAAAAGATGTGAAGGAGAAATTCGAGTGTTATTCCATAAAGTAACTTATCTAATATTCAGTAATCCAAACATAACAACCTGATTAATTTTGCTAGTGACTATATAGTTATTAAGGTTGGTTGAAGGACTCTGTAATCACTAAGCAGTGTCTCAAATAAAGGAAAGTTTAAAATCTGGATATTGTAATGATTTATCAAAATGATCAATTGCTTTGAAGTTTAAAATATTCTGCTACGCTGAATAAAACGACATTTATATGACGGTTTTGAGATGACAATAACAGTCAAGTTTTAACACAAAACTGA